TTATTATAATTCCATTAGACAGTGCTGGTCGAGGATAGTCCTTTATTGAGGATTACAGCTGAGAGGTCAGTAATTTTGCATACGTAATACAAAAACCCAATCAGAAACGTGCCATCGCAATTCTTTCCGACATACAGGTTAATGTATAAAGAAGTCGGTAGTTATTCTTCCAGACATATCTCTTGGCCATTGATGGTTGTTATATTTTTGATCATCGAAAGCTACCTACTACTCATAAGTGAGTAGTATCTCACAACACTGTCTCCTGCCGATGGATAAACTGTCTTTCTGTTCTCACTTGATTTCTACCAAGATCCTATCACATTCCAATATTTCTTCCGCAGACATCTGGGCGATATCAAAGTGGCCCGTGTAACATCTGAGGCTACGCTGCTTTTATGTAGCCCATCAATGGGACGGCGATTGAACTACAACCCGCATCACTCTTCCCACTAAGCGCTGGGTGTGAAAATGTGGCATCCGAGGTGTTCAGAAGACCAACTCACCGTCTAGTAGTGTTTGGTCACGAAAAAATGTTTAGTACGATCTGAGTCGACTCTATGTATCCCAACTACCCGTAGACGTTCTATGGAATGAAATTACAAGCAGTGTCTCCTGCAGGTTTCGATATTTTCCATTCGAGTTTGCACCGCTAGATTCAGCAAATCCAAGCGCAATTTCAGGACAGAGTTGATAGGCAGTGGTTTGATTCATTCACCTCCGTAGGAAACCTATGTCTAAGAGACAAGAGTGATGACCTTGTTAATTACTGGTCACATTTGCCAGGTCATAATACCGTTGTCAACATTTTGTAGTGTTTTATACGCAGAATGCTTGCCAAGCAAAACGTCGCCGGGTTTTCACCCACTGTTGCCACTCTTCCACTTTCACTTCTTCAGTGAACCTGAGCCCGCTTTATTCGTGGCCAGCCCCCGATGTTTTTTTCTATATCTGCAACCTGGGGATATACCAGGTCTGGAAGCAGCTCTCAACCGCTATTCTTCCAAATCCATTACGTTAGTTCCACCCTACAGTGATCAGTTATCCCGTGCTTTCGTTTATTCAGCTACTCTGGGGATGGTTTTGCTTCCTCATGGCATTCCATCTTCTCATCAATCTCTTGTTTCTTTTCCTTCTCAGAAAGCCCTCGCCGAAATCGGTTCTGAGTGGGATCAGAATCGTCGAGTGATCAATTTGAACAAATCAGGCTTCGGAGCACATGGTGCCGTCCCGCCTAAATTCCCGTATTTTGCTGTCGAGTTCGGTCTGGACGGCGGTGGTCTTGCTCGTGTACTGGATGATGAACGTGATATTCCCGCCTACTTCGGTCGAGTAAGTTAGGATGATCTGATTGCTTCCCTTGTCACGGCTGAGCTTATTTTTCTTCAACACTGGTAATTGTGATCAACAATCACGCTGGTCAATCACTGCCGACATACTCTAATTCACCAGCAAGATCGCATCATCCTCTGCGGTGTAATACAGTGAAGCGCAGATGTGTACGGAGGATAGGAATTGAGTCTATGTTTTGGACGGGAAAAGAACGTGAATCTCTGTGGTCAACACACCAGCAAGGTGTGAAGTTGCAATGCGTTGATAAGATCTGCACTTTGGGCCCTGACCTTGGACGCACTTCACTTCAACCACACAGTCACTTTCAAGTTTCGGCTCTGATGGACGATTTTCTTAATCTTTTCTGGCATTGATTTTTTAAAAATAGTTTTTTTGAAAGACAGTCCATTTTTTTGCAATTACTCGACTGCAACTTGAATTCGATAAATATTTTGCTGCAACTGCAGGGATTAGTCTCGATACTGATAATTTTTCTCGTCCCGAAAGCGCTTCCACGGGTAGTAAAATGGAACACAGTGGGAAGCGTATAGAAATTTATTGATTGCGCGAAAGCATATTTATTTGTGAAGAACGGGAGGAGGACATAAAAACACAGTGAGCAGTTGTTTGGCTGGATTGTAGTCAATCGTCTTGGTTGGTTTTCGGATCCGACTAATTATTTGAGCTCGACTCTGATTATTCTGATTGGTTGCCGCAGAACATAGCATTTTTCAGGGAGCGTGCTTACTATTTGTAGAAAGACCGAAACCACCAGCTATCTGCATTTGATCCTCCGTTCACTTCAAGTTTTCCTCTTTGGCAATATGTGGTCATGCAATTATGAGGTGCGGTTCAACATCCTAAGTTGACTAGTGTTAGCAAATGCTATTTTTGCCTACGGTTTTGGTACCTCTCCTCATTCATTTGAGTTTTACTTTCTGTGTTACTCTGCATTTTTGTTAAAAACTCGGACGCCCACTTTGTCCCTGGTATTCTCTACCGTGATTTTGCCATCTTTTCTGTCCGCATTTCCCTCTCTCTTGAAGGAAGTTATCGCGGATCTTTTAGACAAAGACACACGTTATTGGCGAAAACCGAAAACAGAAAGATTTGAACAGTTACGGTCAAAAGTCGTTGAATTTGAGAACTGGTGGGAACCGTTTAATAAATGGTCTGACCGCGACCCGAGGAACGTTGTCGGAAGCGACCCGATTAGAACCCTCGACACCTTGGGTCCAGAAGGTCCAGAGCTTCCTCCGGGTCTCTGCTAATTGTACATTGTTGTAAATGCTTACTCATTTGTATATTTGTCCTATCTAAACGTTCATTGACTTCTACTGAAATCATTCCGTATATGGTTCATAACTGGAGCGCTTGTTGAATCTTGGTGACGGCAGACACCGTACAACGGCCACACTGGCACACATCGGTAGACGTCTGCAGGTTCGGGACCATACGGAGCCTCCAGCTAATCAAGCATCAAGATCGCTGTTGTTAGTGCGTGGTCGTATCTCTAATGTATACTCTATAAAGAATTCCATACTGCATCGGTCGTCGCGCAGGTTCAGGACCGCGCTTCCCATTGCATCGAACGTTAAGCTCGCTTCTGTTCAGACATCCCAACCTTTGTTCAACTCCATTTTTCGTACCCAGTCCTCTCCCTTTACCCCGTCCGTTCTGTAACATTCCCCCAGGCAACTTGCTTGTCACTGGCCAAAATTGTTTGTTTGGTAGCGCTGTGGGTAGTTCACAACGCAATAGGTTGCAGATTCTGAAGCCTCCTCAGCCTCTCAATTTGGGGCATTCAATGCGAGGACGCAGGTGTAGGTAGGTCAACAAGCTTTCTGGAGTGTACAATGGACTCTGAGAATTGATGTCTGCTGCCTACCGGAGACACGAACCCAGGATCCTAGTAATGTAAGCCGCATAAGTGTGCTCAGGTGACGGCGAATTCCGTTCAGCAGACCAGCGTGGCGTCGACATTGTACTCAATAATACAGCCAAAGCGTCACGAATCGATTAGATCTCTATCAACAATCAGTTATGTTCAATGCTCCTCTAAGGATCTATCAGCTTCCGAAAGTGAAGCAACACCAAAAGGTGTTTGTTCATCATTTCAGCGTATGCACTGACCAACTGCAGTTCTGACGCGCAAAACGACGAGTTCTGTGACAAACTTTTAGTGACTCGATGGTTGCTGATGTTCGTCAGAACCTGTCACTAATGTTTACTC